AGAGTAGTCAGATTTTCAAAAGGGTCATGAGGTTATCTTGTGCATCTGGTCTGTTCATGCAGTCGTTCAAGGTCTTAAGCAACCACTATAATTTCTAAGCAGCAGAAAGGTTTATGTAGATCAATTTGGCATATTAAAGCCATAAACAATCAAATCTATTTGTATTTACCTGCTAAAATCGCCCATTACAAAGACACAACCCATTTCAAAGGCTCTTAACCCAGTGAGCTAAACAGACAATACAATTCACAATTAACAAACATAGACATTAGACAATGCCATGAATCTCTCATAAATTACAAAAACTTTATGCCAACACTTATAAAACTGAAGCCTTAATAAAGGACATTTTTCAGTGTTTGAAAGTGGTTGTACCAATGGAAAGGCTCTTTAGGTTGCGATGCATGGAAGTTCTGCTAGTTATAGATACAGTGCCCCAGCTCTTCTCTCTTTACTGCTGAGAGAGTAATGCATTTCTGTTGGCTTTCATCTTCTCTAATCGCTTCATCAAGTGGCTATTGGTCATTTCCATCTCTTCATTCCTATCCAATGCTGATCGTAACTGAGGAGGAATTGAGATACATTTGGTCATTATCACTAAGCTAAAACAATACATTGAAAATTGCAAGATGCCATGCAAGATTTACTTAAATAGTTGAACGCCTCAATCAGCCATAGCAACATGGGGATGATTGTTGGGAAATAAAAATAGAATCACTCATTTTCTACTTATGATGCAATGCAGAACTAAAAATGTATTTATAGCCACCTAATTTGTTTGGAGGGAGGTCCTGGGGTTGAGTAAAAGCAATATAGCACTGTACATGAAATACTTAAAAACACAAACACAATGATGTATTGGAAATGATATTTAAATAAGTCATCATCACATCATTAAGACTGGCAATTTAACAATGAACATTACAACAAAACATGCAAATACAAATGAGGGGAAAAATGGATTAAGTCAAAAGAATGGAAGAGACCAGCGAGGCAAAAAGACCATTTAACCTACTGTGGCCTGTTTTGGACCTCAAAAAGCTCTTCAGAATAGCATAAAAGGACAACGCATTTCTGCAATGCTTTTGTTCATCGGACGGACTATTGAGTACAAGAGTTGGCAGGTCATGTTACAGTTGTATAGGGCTTTGGTTCGACCACATTTGGAATACTGTGTACAGTTCTGGTCGCCACGTTACCAAAAGGACGTGGATGCTTTGGAGAGGATGCAGAGGAGGTTCACCAGGATGTTGCCTGGTATGGAGGGCATTAGCTATGAAGAGAGGTTGAGTAGATTAGGATTATATACATTAGAAAGACGGAGGTTGAGGGGGGACCTGATTGAGGTCTACAAAATCATGAGAGGTTTAGATAGGGTGGATAGCAAGAAGCTTTCTCCCCCCCCCCCAGAGTGGGGGACTCAATTACTAGGGGTCACAATTTCAAGGTGAGGGGGGAAAAGTTTAAGGGAGATATGCGTGGAAAGTTTTTTTTACGCAGAGGGTGGTGGGTGCCTGGAACGCGTTGCCAGCAGAGGTGGTAGAGGTGGGCACGATTGCGTCATTTAAGATGTATCTAGACAGATACGGGCAGGGAGCAGAGGGATACAGATCATTGGAAAATAGGCGACAGGTTTAGATAGAGGATCTGGTTCAGCGTACGCTTGGAGGGCCGAAGGGCCTGTTCCTGTGCTGTAATTTTCTTTGTTCTTTGATGTTGTTCTGACTTACAAACATAGTAATGAGTAAATATTCTGCATACCTCTCGCTGCAACCTCCTCTTTTCTGCTTTTAGTTCATCCTCTATTCTTTCTGAGTTTTCTGTTGCTGTTTTATAGCGAAGCACCTGCCCTTCAAGTCTGACAACCTGAAAATTCATACAAAAAAAATAAGCCACGACATTACTATCATGGGAACTACAGGAAACACTTCCACAGAATTATTAAAAAGACGTGTTGGACAAACTAGAATTTGTGACTTCCACCCAAAGCAAAACTCCAATCAAGGGTCAAAACATTTAAATATATGATTCCATACTTTGGATAATGCTCCAAATATCTAAATTATTGTTAGGTCCAAATGGTTCCTTTCATTGGCTAAGTTTGAGAATATGATGATGATCAAGTCACCACAATTGCAGATGCTGCAAAAGCTTTCTCATTTTGGTGAATCCAACAAAATGGGCATTTCTTCGGCGATAAATATCTATAATCATTTTTATACATAGAGTTTCTATCGGTCATCTCAGTCAGGTGTTAAAGATCCCCTGATTTTAAAAACAGTACTCCCCTTTCCCCCCACCCAAGTGTTTTGGCCACCATTTATCCATCAGCAAATACCTAAAAAAATCTGATCATCTATTTCATTGCCGTTCATGGAAGCTAACTGCAAGCAAATTCACGGTCATTATTTCTAGCTTCAACAATAACTGCGCTACAAGAGTATTTTACTGGCTATATGTTGTAGTGGATGTCCTGAGGGCATGCAAGATTCTATTTAAATGCGACTTTTTTTCACCTCAATGTTAAACAAAATTGTCAAGTCAATTTGTAAGGTTCCACAAAGAGTTAAATGACCAATGTTTTCTGAAAGAGAACATTGTTGTCCACGAGGCCAGGTGAACACATCTGCTTCTCTTAATCGTTACACCCTCAAACTAAGAAGACAGCACCTCAGTTTAATGACAGACAGGTCACGCCCGACAAACCTCACTGAATTTTTTGAAAAGGAATTAAGTAAGTCGACAGGGAATGTCTATGGATGTTGCTTATATAGATTTCCAGAAGGCATTTGATAAAGTACCACAGAACAGAATGTTAACCAAGGTAGAAGCCCACAGAATTGAGGGCAAATTACTGACATGGCTGGGAAAGTGGTGGAGTGGCAGGCAACAAGAAGTAGAGATAATAGCTAAGTACTCATATTGGCAGGATGTGACTTGTGGCTTTCCATAAGAGTCTGTGTTAGGGCCTCAATTATTCACATTTATTTGTTAACAACTCGGAAAATGGCACAGAAAGTCATATATCCACAAAGATGGCCCAAAGTTAGGCAGTATTGTAGAGAGTGTAGATGACAGCATAAAATTACAAAGCAGTATTGATAGACTAGGTGAATGGGCAAAGCTGAGACTGACAGGTTTCAATGTATGCAAGTAGGTGGTTATCCATTCTGGACCAAGAAACGATAGGTTAGGCTATTTCTCGATGGTTTGAAGTGAAGTACACTGGATGTCTAAAGAGACTTGGGATTCAGGTACATAGATCTTTAAAATGCCACAAACAGGTGCAGAAAATAATCAAGGCAGCTATTGGAATGTTGGGCTTTAGATATAAAGGACTGAATTACAAGAATGCAGATGTTTCGCTGCAGCTATACAATACCTTGGTTAGACAACACTTGGGAGTACTGAGACCAGGTCTGGGTCCTTAGGAAGAATATATCGGTATTGGAGGGAATACAATATAGGCTTACAAGAATGATATATCTGAACTTCAGGGGTTGAATTATGAGAGATTATACAAATGAAGTGTGTTTTCTCTAGAATTTAGAAAGTTAAGAGGTGATCTGATTAAAGTCTTCAAGATAATAACAGGAAAAAACAGGGCATATAAAGATGAACTATAGTGATTGCAGCAAGGTCAGCCAAGTGGAGCTGAAAGAATGAGTTCCCTGATTGGACCAGATTAATAGCCCCAATCAGGGAGCCCTTTCTGACAGATAAGAACAGAATTGTCACTGACTCTGAGCTGGCTGGTCACAGCCAGCGTACTGTGCACAAATAATTAAAGGGTGATTTGCTGATGGGATACCGGCCTCAGTGCAGTTATTTTAGGAAAGAAAAAAAGAACAGAAGTGTCAGATATCCTGTTTACTGAGAGCTGGCTCTGGGGGAATCAGTGTCAAGGCCTCTCATTGTATAAATAAATGGTGATGGGATACCAGCCTCTATGGAGTTATTTCATAAACTGTGTCCACTGGCTAAGGGATTCTAGAACTAGGGGGCACAGTCTGTTTAGGAGAAATATTAGGAAACACTTCGCACAAAGCTTGGTAGCATTTTGGAATTCTCTTCCATGAACAGCAATGGATGCAGGATCAGGTTTAATTCTAAATCTGAGACAGATACGTTTTTCATGATCAAAAGGACTTAAAGAATTTGGGACAAAGGCAGGCATATGGAATTAAGCCACTGATCAGCAGTGTTCCCTCGGAGCCTGCCCCATTATTCAAGGGATTGAATAGCCTACTCCCGTTCTAATCTAATCCAAACAGTACACCTCACACAATGTGGTGTCAAGATAGTTTATGCATTGTTCTGTTGACTTGGAGAGAAGTACATTATCTTTGAATCTCTGCTGATAGCTCAAAAGCTTCAGACTCACCTCCCTGCATCACGCATCTGTCATAAACATAACTACACAAAACATCGTACCTCCTGATGTAAGCAGCACTTCATTTGATCACGATGGATAAAATATCAGTTCTTTGAAAAGTTGAAATCTTAACTAGGGCACTGATGTAACTAAATAAATCAAAGGATGGAAGACCAAGAGCTCGGCATGCTGATTCTCCCCACAGCTAGGAGGTGGGGAGCAAAGATTTGCTTTGTTTGCTATTTTGCAGGTCTACTTTTTACATTTAAAATTTATAATTTGTCTACAATTAGTAAACAGCATGTTAAGTTCATACATTCCAGCTGGGCCAAAGTAGTGTTGCATGAAAGCACAGTCTTTTGCCAAAAGGATGAGAGAATCTGCATTTCTTTCAGACATTTCTTAATGAGCAGCTGGGAGAAGAAGGAGAGGTACAAAGGAACAATATCCAATATTTTGGTTTCATGGCCGAGAGACACACTGGAATCAAATTTTAATCCATACACACACAATGATGAAGGTTTATGATATACTATTATATAGAAGCTTGGTTCCAAAACTGACAGGACCACATACAGATTTCAGGCTGACTTGTATTTCTATATTGCATGAGTTGAGGTAAGAATCTAATTTTAGTTTCATGTTTGTGTTGTGGTGGGAGGAGGGGTTCTGGGAAGACTGAAGTTTTTCTTATATGACCTAAGTGAGGCTTTTAAAACTCTTGAAGTGTTTTTGAAGAGAAAAGAATGGTTGCTGCACAAGGTTTCCTATGACATAGATAGACAAAGACAAGAAAACAGTTCTTTTATAAAGCTAGAATGAGCCAGGAGATCAGTGCACTCCTTTTCAGGGCAGTGCTCAAATTTCTTTCAGAGAAAGAAAGGCTGATAAATGACCAGCAGTCTTCAGAACAGTCAGGGCAGAAGAAATGAAGTCCTGAGTGGTTTGGATATTAGGGAAGGAGCACCAGAAACAGAAAGTTGTGGAAAAGCAGTTCAAATGAGCCCATGTATAAAATAAGTGTTTCTGTTAACATTTTAAAGGTCTCAGAAACAGATACTGAGTAAATGCAGAAAGAAGCCAGGTACAGCATGCAAACTGAAGAAAGAATTTTTAAGTGCAACAGGGTGAGGTTCGAGTATCTAAGTCTGTTGCTGAGGTCTACAGAGTGAAATCTTTATTCCTTATTTGTGTAATAAACCATTTCAACTCATACTTGTATAGGGTAATAGTTTGTGCTTTGCTTTCCTTTTATGTATAGCAGACTTTATTGTTCTTTTGTTAAAAGTACAACATATTCACAAGAGGCTGCCAACAATTCAGTCCCATGATAAATAAAATTGTGTACATAAAATTGTGAAAATAAAACCTACATTCTATCAAGCCAGGTTTCATTCTAGAATCTTATTTCTCTAGTATTACCATCAGATAGGATTATAACATATACACCTTCAGAATTTGGTTACATGAATGTGTCTTTAACGAATAGGGCAACAACAGCTCTGCCCAAACATGCAAGTCCAGAAAAGTTAAATATGATTAAACATCCTAGGTCGATTATCAAGGATGATGGAATAAATGTATCACCCCAAAATAAAAATACCTTGCTGCAAAGAATGGGTGATGAAAAAGGGAAAAAAAAGTGGAAAAATAAAGTGGTAACTTAATATAGGGCAGTATTAGAATGCAATATATATTTTAAAAAATACATATGCAACCCTCTCTTATTGTCCATGGAGATTAACGAACTCAACACATGAGAACCTGGATCTTTCTGGTCTGTAGGCTTGGGTACTACACTATACAGAACTTAATGAATGATCAAGAATTTTAGAGTGAATACATGTACTTTTATATATAATTATAATGAAAAACTACAAGTTTTTCAGCTGGACAGCACCAAAACAAGATTCACCAAAGAGCTTTATACTAATGGAAAATTAAACAGCTTTCTATTGACACCAACATAAATTGATGATAATTTGATAAATGTAACTTAAAAATGGAATAACCCATGGTATGTTAGTGGAGCAAAAAGCAATGCAATATCCACAATCTGCAACATCATTTCATGGGCATGTTCATATTGCAATTTTTAATTATCTATGCATATATTTTAATATTAAATGTTGCATAAATTACAAATATAAATAACAAAAATTACAAAGACAGCAGAAATGATACTTGCATATTTGTAAAAATACAGGGTGTTACATCTTCAGGTTGCTATAACAGGAGGTTTTGATGTCTCTTAGAATACTGCTCTAGTCTGGAGTTAGAAAACTTAAGTTTTGAAGAATTGTGGAAAAATGGATTTATTTAAAATGTGTGGAAACTCCTGGAATGGTTTGTTGAAGTCACTCTAGGCATTGGAAATTTTATTCTAAACAAGGCTTCCAAGAAATTACATGTCTGGTGAAACCTGGTTGTTTTACTTGAGATATTTAAACAGTGAGTGGTTTGTAGACATTCTGGTTTGTAATCTGATTGTCATTTAATAGAAAAGGGGGAGGGGAGCAAAGAGGGAAGACACGAAGAAGGGCTGCTTGGCTGATCTCTTCCTTTTCTGAAAAGGAAACCCTGTTAGTGAATTCAGGGAGAAATATCTGTTATTTGGAAAGAACTTCTCCATATCATAACGCTAGAGCAAGCTACGTCTCCAAGACTCAAGAGACAACTGTGAGAGATTAGTGACTCAACCACTCATGCTAGAGCATCACAGCAACAAACTTTGGAACATTCTACACTTGTCCTTTTGCCTTAAACGACTACCCATTGACAAAAATGTTCTTTTTCAGAACTCCAAGTTGTACGCAAATCCAAATTTCCTTCTCGCTTCCAGAAGAGAATGAGGAAATGTGCATGCATGCATGCATCCATGCATATGTGCCTTTGCATGTATTTTGGGGATATTCAGAGGGATAATCATTTGTACTTCTACATTTCTGGTTGTGCATATTAACCAATTATTTCATCTTTATTGAATAAGTTTGTTTTGTTAATAATCCACAAGTGTTTAAGAAACCTGGTCATTAGATGATTTAATTTAAAACCAGACAGATATAGTTTTTCCAGTTACTGAAATAGCCAATCTTTATGTTGTGATCTGTGGAGTAGTGGGACAAGAATGACAATGCACTCCTCCAGTTACACCACTGGGCACACAGATTAGCAGCATTTTTAAAAAAAACTTAACAGACTAACACTACATGCAGTCACAGATCTACACAAACTCAGAGTTTCCTTGATAAGATCAATCTGCAGCAGGCACACTGTTACGTCATGCTACATCAACATTAGCCAATTCTTTAGACTCAAGCTATTAAATTATTACTCCATACAATAAATATTTGTGCACAATTACACGAAGAAAATTGATAGAAATTTTGTGACACTAAAATTATAATGGTATGCCAGATACTTACATTTTGTTCAACAGTGGCAATGTCTTGTTCTGCCTTAGACAGTTTAAACTTGTACTCACTCAACTGCCTATTTACATCTCCTAAAAGTAAACAGAGTGAGGTGATATTACACGAAACAACTCAAAAGCACATGGAACTGCTTGACAAGATTCAAAAGATACTTAAAAGTTAATTTGATTGAAGGGAAAACAAGTCATCAGCAATGACTAAAACTCATGGCTCAAAGAGCCTACTGATAACTTATTAAGTATCATGTGCAAGAAACAATGACCTCTTAAAAATGCATTCCCCAATTACATATCCAGAACCTTTCCATAATGGAATCACTCAACCCAAAACTTACTGGTTTTTAAATAACTCTAAATAAACTTTAATATTAAATAACTTCGGGGGGGCATAGTGGCTAAGTGGTTCAATTCTAGCCTCAGGTGACGGTGTGTTGAGTTTGCATGTTCTCCCTGTGCCTGTGTGGGTTTCTGCCAGCCTCTCTAGTTTCCTACCACAGTCCGAAGATGTGCAGAGTAGGTGGACTGGCCATGGGAAATGTGGAGTCTGGGGATAGGGTGGTGCCTGGGCCCGGGCGGGACGGTCTTCAGTGTCAGTGCAAACTTGTTGGGAACCTCTTGGGAACCTTACCATCCCAGAGGGCAACTGGTGCAGCATGATTTGAATATAATTCACCTGAAAGAGATATATTTTGTGTCTTTCAGGGAATCAAGAAATATGGGAGAGTGCATGAGAAAGTAGAGTTGAAGATAAGGATCAGCCTGATTGTAATGAATACAGATCAGGTTCGACTGGCTTTATGGTCTTCTATTGCTCTTGTTTCTTACATTGTACTCTTGCATTAAATTCCAACCATCCCTGCGAACAGTTAGTTGGGTAAGGATTCCTTGGCATACATACAGCTCACTAACCAGGTCAACATTTTGGGCAAAGAACCAGAATCCGCAATGATAGGTGAAACCATATCGTAGTAAATATCAGAATTTTCAAATGTAAATGGGTTAGAGACACCCGACACTTAAATTCTTTAGTTATCAATTAGCAGGCCTGACATCATTTGATTCTGTGGACTTACTCTGCATTTCCAGAATTTGTAGGTCTGTGCCATTTTCTAGCCGATCAGAATCGGTGAACACATTTTCAATCCTCGAGTTCTTCTGTTTTTCCTCTTCCAACTGCAATTTCAGCTTTCTGATCTACCAAGAGCAAAGTGGCCAAAGGTTAATAAGCTTAAAAAAATTGAAGTAGTGAAAACACACATTTAGAATGGCAGAAAAGTGCATCTAAGTAGGTCACATAACTAAATGCCTCTCATTGAGGAAAATAAAATATATTGTATTTGTGAGGAACACACTTTTAAACACTGGAAAACTCTTCTGGCAAATAAATTTCATGTTGACCACATCATTACCATAGCACCACCTTCAGTCAAGAGACTATGGTTTCAGAATGAAGAAATGTTGGAAATCATTACCAGCTTGCTGTAATTAGTTGGAAACATTTCTTTTTCTTTGGTTCAACATTGATCTTAGTTTTCCAGCATCACTTTCTGCCTCCTGTGTTTCTATCCCAAGCCTGATGCAAAGACTGGTCTGTTTATTTCTCCACTAGCATCAAGTCCTATTGTAAGCTTGCTGCATTATAGTAAAACAAAGAGGTGATTTTGAATAAGTGACTGACATCTTAGGAAAAAGAACCGAATGATCGTCTGCCAGGTTCACTAGAGTACATTAGAGAAGTTTGGAATAGTGGAAAATGGTGACACAGCATTTTAGAATGGAAAACAAGTCAACAGATTATAACCGTTAGCACACGCAGCAGTGTAATTTGTCAACTGTCAAGCATTTTCCAAAAGCAAAACGAAACTATTGCATTTCAAGATTTAAATAAAAATCACAAATGCATGAGAACTTTTAAAAGTCACTGACACCTCCTCACATCCCCAGCAAACTCTGACCGAAAAGATCATGAATGAGAAACTGTCGATACAGTGTGGAACCGGAGGAACACAGCAGGTCAGGCAGCTTTAGAGGAGCAGGCAAGTTAACGTTTCAGTTTGGGACACTTCATCAGGACTAGGATACTAATAAGAGTGACTGCACACTCTATAAACTGTTATTTAAGACATTACACCATGACACATTTCACATTGTGCAATCGGGGAGAAATAAATCATCCACACTAATATTAGCAGAATTTCACATTGCATTTTCAAAGTAGACTTGTGAAAATTGACAATCCACTATGAATATGATCAATGACTTGCAAGAAGAATTTGTACTGTTCAGATCAATACATTTATTATTAATGTTACTGGACTAGTCCATTTTGCCTAACAGAACAAAGTATTTACACAAACTTTAAACACTCCCTACTCAGAAATGGAACAGTCAAGACTGCATGAAACTGAAATGATGAAGCAAGTCAGCCAGCTTACATTTAAAGTTATTTAGGTTAAGTGATTCAAGCTGTTTAAGAACCAAACACCGGTAATAAGAAAATGTGTTCTATTTTGTTCTTTACAACTAAAATATTTTAAAGAAAATACTCCTGCAGAATGACTAAAACAGTAGTTTAGTGGTTTAGTTCAGTGGAAAGAACACCTTTTAATGGCTGTTCCTGATGTCTTGAAAATGCTGGTGGTGAGCATTCTGCTTCAAATGCTGTTGAGTACTTACTGTAACTGTATGGTAGTGGGTTTCAGAATTTTGATACAACAAAAAATGATGATACAAATGTGTCAGGAGAATGAGAGACTAGGAGAAGAACTTGGTAGATAGTGGTGTTCCCTACACCTGCTGCCCTTTGGTACTGTTGAAAAAGCCTTGGAAAGTTACTGCAGTTCATGCGTTGGATACTACACACTGCAGTCACAGTGCAATGGGTGGATGTTAAAGGTGGTGAATGAACAATCAATCAAGTGGGCTGCTTTGGCCTAACAGTGTCAATCTTCTTCAAATGTTGATATAACTGCAATCTAGTATCTTAGTATTTTATTCCCATCAGTGGAGGCATACTATTTGAATGGTGTTTTAATCATTATATACTGGAGTGATATTTTGATGAAAGCTTCAACATATGAACAATTCATGACTGTGTAAATCACTGCATGCAAAATGTTTTGGGATTTTCCAAAGAAACTAGTGAGTTATGACAAATGCATGATTCTGCGTTTTTCTTCTCAATGTCAGATATGTTGGCATTTGGGAATGAAATTCTTTGCAGTTGAGGTGCAAATGTGACTAAACAATACCATTCATACATAGCAAATAAAGGCATAAAATAAAATTTCCTACTAACATTGCCTAGCTTCAGAATGCAAATGCTAAATTGTCCTTAAATATGCAAGTCAAAAGACCAGAGAGCAACTTTTCCTTTTTGATATTGCATGATTTTTGATTATTTTGCTTTCTTTCCCAATTTTCAAGTGATTAAGTTAATTACCTGTGCAAGCAATTCTTCCTTTTCATCGGCTAGTTTCTTTAGCCGCACATCTACAACATAAGGAAACACATAAAAAAATTGCAAACTGAGGTCAAAAATAATTATATTAGTTAACTCATAACTTGAACAAGTTTGATAACTCAAACATCTTTTTAAAAAATCAAAATGTTGGAAATCTGAAATAAAAAACTAAAATGCTGAAAACACTCAGCAAGTCTGGCAGAATCTGTAGAGGAAAAACAAACTAACATTTCAAGTGAAGGACCTTTCAGGTCCAGCCTAAGGATGCATCTGCACACAAAATTATTGGTAGGGATGATTACTGCACAGTAAATTGACATTAGATACTCCCAATCACTGTGTGGCACCGCCATGGATGATAAATGTAATAGATTCAGAACAAACCTTGTGTTTAAAACTGGACATTCATAACGTTCTATTGACCATTAGCAAAAGAATTGTATTAATTTCTATAATCTCATGGCCTGGTATGTCCCTCACTCTACCATTACCATAAAACCTGGTTCAACGATGAATATGAAAGGGCATGTCAGGACCAGGACTGGACACACGTGAAAAAAAAAATGGTGGTACTGACCTGAAGAAGCTAAGCCTGATAAAACTGGATGCATTTGAAACAGAAAAAGTGGTGTGTAAAAGACCAAGTAAAGCAATTCCAAAGCTACCAATGAATCCACTCAAAAGCTTGGAGACCACATCCAGTATGGTGGAGGTCAATGCAAGAACTCATAATAGTAGGAGGCCTCATGGGAGCAAGTTAACCACCCCAGCAGTCTATGTCCATGATCAGCAAAGTAAAGACAGGTATCAATCAATGGCAGTGATATTAAACCGCATTTTTTAAAAAAATGCATTCACGGGACGCGTGTCATTTTCTTGACCAGGATTTATTGCCCTTGACGAATTGATGGTGTGCTTCCTTCTGCAACTGCTGTAATCCATGGTGAGGAGGTATACCCACAGTGCTATCTGGGTGGGAGTTTCAGGACTAACTCGACAGTGAAGGAACAGATATAATTCCAACTGTGTGTGACTCTACTTCCCTAATTCTTCTGGGTGGCCATGGATTTGGAAGACACTTTCAAAGGAGGGTTGGTGAATTGCTGCAATACATCTTATGGATGGTACACACTGCTGCCAGTGTGTGTTGACGGTGGAGTGTGTTTGTTGTTGGAACTGCACTCAAGATAAGTGGGGTGTATTCCATCACAATTCTAACCTATGCCTTGCAGATGGTGTACAAACTTTGAGGAGTCTGGAGACGAGTTATTGCCACTAAATTTGGAGCCTCTAAACTCTTTTGTAGCCACAATATGTATATGGTTGGTCCAGCGCAATTCCTGGTCAATGTTAATTCCCAGGATGTTGACAATGGTGGAATTCAGCGACAGTAATGGCTTTGAATGTCAGGGTGAGATTGTTAGATTCTCCCTTATTGGAAATGGTCAGTCATTGCTTGGCACTTGCCATTTAGCAGTCAAAGCCTGATATCGTTTAGGTCTTTCTGCATATTACAGCAGACAAAAGAAATGGGAAATGCAGCGTTACAGGGATAGGATGGTAGGGTGGATCTGTTTGGGATGCTTTTTGGTGGTCGGTGTGGACTCGATCTGCCAAATGGCCTGCTTCCACGCTATGGCAGGGCTACTAGTTAACTTACATGTACAGAACAAGCTGGGGGGGGGGGGGGCCACGGGGGGCCTTATCTTGCAGTGGGGGAATGATCCCATCTCTGGGCCTGGAGCTCCAGGTTCAAGACCCACCCCATGACTTGATGGCTAAAAACATTATGCTGCCAAATAGTTTTATTATCAACCTGTTCCAAATTATCCAACACATGCCAACAGTAGGTGCTAAGAGCACGAGAGATTCTTGGTCAGCCACGTGTTGGAAAGAGAGCTGGAGCCTCTACATCACTACTCAGCTCTGGAATACAAAATGCATTTAAAAATTGCATGTTCCAACATAGTTTGGACTCCCCAAATGAACTGTAATATCAAGTTTTGGTGTGTGTCAGCGTGACAAAACTTGCCACTCTGACTTGAATGAATGAGATAACCAAGCTACCAGCTAAACTAAATATTTTACAAGTAGACAGCAGCTAAGACAAGGTTTTTAACAGTTAAGCTCTATTGTTCATTAACTTGGGACAGTACAGTTGAACAAGTACTACCTAATGGTCCATCTCCTGCACTTTCAAGCACGTGAGCAGCTTCTTGAGACACAACTGTTATAGCACCAACAATTGGTTCATGATTTACATCACCATTAGGTGTGCCTTCTGGGATTATAACCAGACCATGTTTCTGAAAAATAAAAATGATTTAAGCTGTCAACTTCAATCAAGCAAGTATCTTCAATTTTCTATGGTCCACAAAACTGCTAACCACACTGCTTTATTTCAGTCTGTTAACTTGAGCTGTGAAATATGTTTTAGTCACAAGCAGAATACAACAGTTTTTTTTTAATGAAAAAAAGAGATGATTAAAGCTACCAAGTGAACTTAGATGCAGCTTCACCGTTTTCTTGTCTTTACAGTTATAAATTCACTAGATAACTTCAAAAACAACAGACTTTAAAAAAATTCAACTCTTATCAGAGATTTAAACATTCAGTGGATCACTCGCAAAGTTAAAATAATATAATCAGGGAAGCTAGCCTTCGTATCTTCATTCAACTAATTGATACTAACAGAATGAAATGTCACCAATTACAAGATTGCCTAATAATGTCCGAATGGTAAAAATGAAATTTCCTTTGCATCCTGGTGACAAACAAAACTAACCAGAAACATGAAAGTTTCAAGGCATGAATTAAGCTGATTTCTTTTTAAACCAGCCTAAATATTCAAGGCTATTTGAAATTGCAGGACTGGAACTAAATGGTTGAGTGGTGGCACTGTTAATTCAGTACAACAGCAGTATAATTAGTGAGAAAAAACCAGAGTTCAGAAGATCATGATGCAGTATCGGTTTATGTAGAGATGAGAAATTACAAAAAGACGTGACTTGTGAAAGTAGTTTGTGTGTCTCCTAACAATAGCTACACTGTAGGACAGAGTATACAGGACGAAATAACAGGGGCATGCCATAAGGGTATTGCAGCAATTTTCAGCCATTTCAGTTTTCACATGGATTGGATGAATCAGTTTGGAAAAAGTAGTCTGGAAGAGGAGGTCAGAGTGTTTTTGGGACTATTTCTGAAAACTGAAAGTTTTAGGGACAACCATGAAGTAAGATATTTTAGACCTGGTAATGTACAATGAAACAAGATTAATTAACGATCTCACAGAAAAGGAACATTCAAGCAAGAATGATCATAATATAACAGAATTTCACATTCAGTTTGAGGGCAAGTAGTGACAGTCAAAGACCAGTGTCTGAAACTTAAAAATTCAAATATAAGGGCTTGAACAGAGTGTTGACTAAAGTGAACTAGGTAAATAGTTAAAAGGTTGAGAAGCAGCGGCAGACTTGGAGGAGATATTCCATAATTTTCAGTAAATTGCATTCCAGAAAGGACAACCCTATTTGATGGATGCATCATCCCTATTAATCAAATTAAGGATACTATCAAATTCGAAGAAAAAGCATGCAGTACTGCGAGGCTTAGTGGCAGGTTAGAAGATTGGTCAGGTTTTAGAAATTAATAAGGAATAGAGTCACACATCTTGGAAACAAAGTATTTAGTCCAACTTGTCTACACCAACCATGCTCCCAAACTAAACTAGTCCTACCTGCCTGTGCTTGGCCCATTTCCCTCCAAACTTTTTCTATTCATGAACTTTTCCAGATGTCTTTTAAATGTTGTAACTGTACCTGCATCCACCACTCTGACAGTTCATCCCACACATGAAGCACCCTGTGTTAAAAAAAAGTTGTCCCTCAAATCCTTTTTTAACCTCTCTACTCTTAAAAATATGCCCCTCATGATTGTATAAGCCTCTGTAAGGTCACTCCTTAACCTCCAATGTTCCAGTGAAGAAAGTCCAAGCCTTTCTTGTCTATTTTTATATCTCAAACCCTCCATTCCTGGCAACATCCTGGTAAATCTTTTCTGAATCCTCTCTATCCTTCCTACAACGGGACGACCAGAAATGCACACAGTACCCCCAGAAGGCAGCTTACCAGTGTCCTGTACAACAATTGACATGACGTCCCAACTCTTCTACTCAAAAAGTCTGAGCAATGAAGGCAAGCATGCAAAGTGTCTTCTTGATCACCCTGTCTACCTGTGATGCAAATTTCAAAGAATTATGTATCTGAACCCCTAGGTCTCTGTTCTACAACACTACCCAGGGCTCTACCATTAATTGTGCAAGTCCTGTCCTTGTTTGTATTACCAAAATGCAATACCTCACATTTATTGAGATTAAACTCCATCTGCTACTCCTGAGCCCATTGACCCACTTGATCAAGATATCTTTGCAATCTTAGATAACCTTTTCACTGTTCACTATACCAACTTTGGCATTACCTGCAAACTTACTAACCATACTAACCATTGTCTCAGATTCTCCAGCATCTGCAGTTCCTACTATCTCTACTAACCATACTTACATTTTCATCCAAATCATTTACACAAATGACAAACAAAAGCGGACATAGCACCAATCCCTGTGGTACGCTGCTGGTCACAGGACTCCAGTCTGAAAAACAACCCTCCACCACCATCCTATGTCTTCTACCGTAAAGCCAATTTTGTAACCATTGGCAAGCTCACTCTGAATCCCATGTGACCTAACTATACTAATTAATCCATGTGGAAACTCAAAGGCTTTACTGAAGTCGAAGTATACAACATCTACTGATCTGCCCTCAATCTTTTTCGTTACTTCATGAGAAAACTCAATCAAGTTTGAGAGATACAATTTTCCATGGATACAAAACTATGTCAATTATCGCTAATCAATCCTTACCTCTCGAAATGCATATAAATCCTATCTTTCAGGATCACCTCCAACAACTTACCCACCACTGATGTCAGACTCACAGGTCTATAGTTCCCAGCCTTCTCCTTACAGCCTTTCTTAAACAATGGCGCAACATTAGTTACTCTCCAGTCCTCAAATATTTCTGCTAGGGCCCTGCAATTTACACCCTAACTTCCCACAAAGTCCTGGGATACACTTGATGAGGTCATGGAGATTTATCTACCTTGACATTTTCTAAGACTTCCAGCACCTCCTTTTCTGTAATGTGAACTGTTTTCAAAACATCAATATTTACTTCCTTGAATTCTCTAGACACAAAATATTCATTTAAAATCTCTCCCATTTCCTGAGGTTCAACACAAAGATGACTTTGCTGATCTTTAAGAGGTCCCACTCTCTGCCTAGTTCCTCTCTTGGTCTTAATGTATTTGTAGAATCTTTTTGGATTATTTTGAACCTTGTCTGCTACCTCATGTCCCGTCTTTGCCTTCCTGATTTCCTTCTTGCCCCTACACTCTTTACACTCAAGAGATTCAGTTGATTCAAGTTGTGTATATCTTACATATGATTCTCTTTTATTCTTGACTAGAACCTCAATATTTTTATTCATCCATTGTTACCTGATCTTACCAGGCTTGCCTTTCATTCTAACAAAGACATAATGCCTCTGAATTTTCATTGTCACACTTCTGAAGGCCTCCCACTTATCTGTCATACCTTTACCTGCAAACAGTCTACTCCAAATGGCTTTTACAAGTTCTTGTTTCATACTCTTAAAATTTGACTTGCTCCAACAGAGAACTTTAACTTTTATGAAAGACTAATCCTTTTCCATAACTATTTTAAAACTATTAGTATTATGATCACAAGTTCAAAAGTGTTCCCGTACCAACGCTTCAGTCACTTGCCCTATCTTATTTCCCAAGAGAAGGTCAAGTTTCGCTCCTTCTCTAGAATGACTTAAAAAAAGGATGAAATTAAGAGATTGAGAGAAAGCTCACTAGAAATAAAAACCTAGCAGAACTTGCATAAGTATTTAAAAAAAGGGAATAAATAAAGTTGTTCCTTGAAGGGCAAGGATAGGGAATTAATAATGGAAACCGATACTATTTTTGTTTACTAATATGGATTTCTTCAGTTTCTCATTGTCACTTGTTTTCAGTATCCTTCGAGATTCATGGATCTTCCTCTGAGAAGATGGACACAAAATATTTGTTTAGTTTCTCTGCCACTTCCTCACTCCATTACAAATTCTCGTGTCTCAAACTGTACCGGGCTTACACCGTCTTTGCCAATCTTTTCTTTATTATGTATGTGAAGTGAATTACAACTATGGGAAATCTGTAGACTTGGAGCCATTTGTCAAAGCACAATAAAGGATACAACACAAAACAAGTGCTCATGGCGGTGGTGGTGGTGGAGTGGGGTGGTGTGCTTGGTTAGCTAACAGGAAGCAGAGTATAGGGATTAATCATACATTTTCATGTTGGCCAGATGTTATTCCTAGGAGTGCCACAGGAATCTGTGCTGTAGCGTCAACTATTTATAATCCTTATCCATGATTTGGATGTAGGTACTGAATGCATGTTCACTAAATTTACTGATGGCACAAAGTAGGAAATTAAGTTACCAAGAGATCACAAGGTATCTGCAAAGAGATATAGACGTTAGATGGAAGTGGGCAAAAAAATGGCACATGGGGTGTAATGTGGGAAGTACAAGGTTGTCTACTCTGGGAGAGAGAATAGAAACACAATATGTTACTTTGATGAGAACAGATTGTAGAACTCACCAGAGAGAAATGTGGGGGTCCAGCTATATGAATGACAAAATGTTGATATGCAAGTAAAGCAAACAATTTGGACGGCAAATGGAGTATTAGCATTTACTGCAAAGAGAATAGAATATAAAAGTAGATAAGTGTAGGCTGGATAGGTAAAGGATCTTAATTAGACCACTTCTGGGTGTTATAATGAGGTTAAAACTACATGCATATCAGGTGCATTAAAACCAGGTCAGAGATGGTTCAGTTTTCTTGGGATGAAGGGGTTATTTTCGGAAGATAGGTCGAACAGGTTGCACTTACGCCCACTGGAGTTTAGGAAAAAAAAAGAGGTGATTTATTGAAACATAGATTTGAGGGGACTTGACAAGATGCTTGATGGGGGAAGTCTATAATTGAGAGACATAATTGATAAATTAGGAACATGCCATTTAAGACTGAGATAACCAGAAATTCTTTTCTCAGAGGATAGTTAAGTAGGTAGAATGCTCTCCCCTGAAGGAAATGGAGGATTGAAACATTGAATATATTGAAGGTGAGTTAGATAGATTTTCAATAAACAAGAGTTAACAGTTATGGAGACAAACAGGAAAGGAGAATTGAGCCTCCAACCAGATCAAGTGGCAGGCTTGAGGAGCCAAAATGACCTATTCCTGCTCCTGAGTCTTGTGTTGTGCTCAAACGTTTGTAGTTTGCTTTAGATGTATGACCTGCTTTTCACACAAAAAAAATCTTCAGAAAGTCTTGATATATAGGAATTTAAACAACGAAAATAAATGTTAAGCAGATTCAAATCTAATGTAATCGTTCTGTATCAGATATAAAATAATTTCAAGGGGAAAAAAGAACGTGAAATACCACTATGTGGGGCATAATGAACATTTAAACTTCAGACGCATGAAAATCTTTTAAAACAAAGTCAGTGATATTTGAAGTTGATTCATTCATTACGCTGTTCACTGATGTAAAGAGGATCAGCTGTTGAGAATTTTACTCATGTCATTCCTCTTGTAGAAGTTCACATCTGTTTACAACATGTGTTAAGATAACAGTCAGTTACACTTTGAGAAACTGATGTCAACACTGCTTCTCCAATTCTCATGTCAGCTTATGACTCAGTTTTGGAACCAGTGCCGTGCTGTTAACATGTCCTATTTGGAGCCATCATTTTTTTCACTCCCAAGATCCACTGTAACAACTGAGGTAGTTCATTTTCTCTTGGCTGTCACAGCATATTTTGTAGATATTGATTTTCTGATTCTTAAAGTTTCCATCTGCTTGATTTATTTCCTTATTTTGCTTATTCTCAGCATAAATCAGTAGCTCATATGGAATCTTAAGGTTGAACATCATGAAACACATAACTGTGCATTTTCTGGAATTTGCTCCACCTTCACGTCACTTTCATCTTTAATAGTTATGATCTCTATTTTAAGCAATTAATTTATTTCAGTTCTATTCAGATCCAGTCACGGATCTGGATTCTGCAGGATTTCCATCACTAGTCAAACTCATTGACGTACTGAGTTGGCAATTACCACAACTGAAAAATATTAAGTATATCATGAAGCAATGGTGATGTGAGGAAAAGCCTTTTCATACAGCGAAGATTGAGTAGGGTATGGAATGCACCGAGTATTTGGTGAAGGTTTTTAAATCGGGACATTCAAAAGGCAATTAGCTTGTCTCAAAAAGAACAGCATGCAGGGCAACAGGGAGAATGTGGGGAAGCACTAGCTAAATTGCTTCTACAGGGAATTAGTGTAGACATGGCAGGCTTAATGGTCTCCCTTGGGGTTCATGTCCACAGTTTCCTGAAAGCTGCCACCCAGGTGGATAGAGTTGTTAGCTTTCATTAATAGAGGGATTGAGTTCAAGAGCCGTGAAGTTATGCTCCAGCTCTCCAAAAGCCTGGTTCGGCCACATCTGGAGTATTGTGTCCAGTTCTGGTCGTCTCATTACCGGAAAGATGTGGAAGTGTTGGAAAAGGTGCAGAGGAGATTTACCAGGATGTTGGAATGGAGGGAAGGTCTTACGAGGAAAGGTTGAGAGAGCTAGGGCTTTTCTCTTTTAGAACAACGAAGGATGAGAGGTGACTTGATAGATGTGTATAAAGTGATCAGAGGTAAAGATAGAGTGGACAGCCAGAGACGTTTTCCTAGGGTGGAGGTAGCTATTAAGAGGGGACATAGTTTTAAAGTGAACGGAGGTAGATACAGGGGAGACGTCAGAGCTAAGTTCTTTACTCAGAGAGTGGTAGGGGTGTGAAATGCATTGCCGGAGAGGGTAGTGGAGTCGGCCTCATTAGGGGCATTTAAGCGGCTATTAGATAGGCATATGGATGATAGTATAAGGTAGGGGTGGGAGGTTAGATAGACCTTAGGATTAGGGTAAAAGTTTGGCACAACATCGTGGGCCGAAGGGCCTGTACTGTGCTGTACTGTTCTATGTTCTATGTAACCAGTCTATAATTCTTAGATTCAGACACAAACTTCTGTAAATCAGACATTGAGAATGTTGTACCTCAAATTGAGTAGATGCAAATTTGTGAGTTACTTATGTAATATTAAGATAATTGAATGGATATCCAAATGAATATCAATGTCCATTTCTGAGGTGAAGGTAATATTGGTCAATAGTGCCTTGATTTTGAAACTTTTATCCTGGTTTTCAAATTCTTCTATGATCTTGTCCTTCCCCATCTCCAATCTCCTCCAGCCCCACAACTCTCCAAAATTTCTAAGTCCACCTAATTCAGGTCTATTGAGCAATCTCTGCTTTTTTCTCACCATTTGTGGCTGTGCCTTGAGCCCAAGTTGGGGGATATCCTTACTGCACTGAGAGAGATTCCCCATTACCTCACTGCCCACCTTTAAAACAGTCCTCAATTTCTACCCCTCAGTTTCAGAAATCTGATTAATACCTCTTTACATTTCCCGATCTATAATTAGCTTTATAATGATCCTACAGAGCATCTTGGAACATTTCATTCCATCCAAGACGCCACAAATATAGGAACAAATATATATATACTCCTGTAGCAATCTGGATATAAGCACAAACAGCTTGTCTGAAGGAACCATCTTTAACAGTGGTACCGTCTTCTCAGTACTGTTACTAGACATCATCTGTCGGGTTAAATCAGCAGTTTAATGAGGCTCAGGTTTTATTACCATTAGATGGTGTGTGTTTCACTCATTTACCAAGCACAGATTACAGTTATCACACATGTTTAGCTAAGTAGTGCTAAATCAGAGATTGTGAAAAACTAAACTCATTAAATAGTGACAACAATGATAGCTTAGCTGTTGGAATACAACAATGTAGCAGTTAGATTCTGTTTCACCAAACAGAAACAACAAAAATGAACGGATGGAGAACACCAGGAGCATGATAGGCAAGCTGACCCAACAAAACTGCATTAAATGAAAATGTCAAGAAGAATCAAAGAAAAAGTAAACATCAATAAGACAGGCAAAAGATTAATGAAAGTTTCTACAAATAAAGAAATGCTAATTTTCTATTTCATTGTTCGGGATACTTTTACTCTACTTTTGATGTATTGTTATTCAATTCTCAGTTACTCCTCATTTTATTGCTGTGGACTTTAACCAAAAGCCCAAATAAATCAATCAATCAATCTACAGACTATTTAACCTAAACCATATACATTTCCTACCTTTGTTTTTTCCCTTAGATCAGCCAACTCATCTCTCAGCTCATCACGCTCATTTCTAATGCAGTCAAAGTAGTCTTTCTGCCTCTCTAGAGCCTGAACACAGGGCAGCAAGTGGGATAAAGAACATTGCAGAGAAAGAAAACATATGTAAATTGCAACAAAGACATGAATATAGCAGATGACACAAGAGGGCAAGAGCAACAGGATGAAGTCTGGAAAAACTAAATCTCACCTTCAACTATTTCTCAAGATTAATTTCTGACTTCACAGTGCACAGCTATTGCAATGTGTCACATGCTTTGAGAAGCTTGTGCAAACAAACCAAAATAAATCTACGCCATACATGGTAAGCAAAAGATAACTCACAAGAAACATTTACACTAAAGGTATTTGCAATAAGACAATTTGTCATTTGCTTCAACTGATAGTGTATCATGCTCTGACACACTGAATATAGAATGGGACATCACATTTACTAATTAGTCAACAAAGAACACCCCATGCAGCCATTGCTTAATATGACCGCCTACCCCAATTTTTTTGTCTTTCCAGTTGACAGTTTCCTGCAGATCAAACACATCCCTGGTGAGAGTGTCCACCCTTTGCTGCAAAGACTTGTTTTCCTACAGAAAAAGCCACAGGCGAGGAAAGGAACTTCAGCATCGGTTAGCATAAAGTCAAGACAGATGAGGTACTTAAAAAGGAAAAGGGATGAATTTAAAAGGATTCAACAAAACAAACATCAGGCCGTAACAGATAACAATGTAGTAGAGGACCCAGAAAGATGAATAAAGCAAATTTTAACAAGAAATGCAAATCTGTTAGATATCAGATGGCTCCAATTGTATAGCTGCCCTCAATTAAGTAGTCATAGTTGATTGAGGAAGGAAGTTTTTTTTTGTTTACTGGCTGCTGAAACAGGATGCAATTATGATTTACAGACTTAAATAGTGAATGGTTGATCTGTGATGGCCATTTTTAACCCCATTTAATTTGCACCTAATACAGCTCAAGAACTGGAATGCATAAACTTACCCAACTTCTCTCAATTATTAGGTGCATCTGAGGCAAAACACTAAGTTGATTTGAGATACTTAATGCCCTCGACTGCAAAAGTTGACAGCGGTGGGAAGCGCAAAAAAAAATTCAGGACATCCTACAGCTAGGGATTCCTACAACGGCCTTTACATCTACTGTTGAACATACAAGCATTTTTACTTTTATCTGTTCAATGAGTTTGTTTAATAGCATTTCTTTTGATTGTCCATCTTACTTGCTGTTCAGATTATATAGTGTATATACTGCAGGTATGTTAATATCAGCTGTAGTTAATCAGATTTCTGCTAATCTATTGCAAAAATGTTTTAACAACTTCATGATAGTAATCTCGGGATATGGATTGAATTCTTTGCTTTTGAAATACACAACACCTGAAAGTATTCAGCTCATTGGCTATGCAAATCCAAAATTTAAGACATTCGCAGGACAGTTACTACCTAATTTCCAGAAGTCAAGAATCATGGGCTAATTTCATTTAATTTATTTCATTTAATTTATGCAAACACCTAAAACAACATGAAAAAAAGAATATAGGCCTTCACCATCTACCTACCTCTATAAGTTCATCTCTTTGCTGAATGCCCTCTTTAAGTTCTTCTATTTTGTGCTGTGACACACTACACATATGTTTCTGTCGTTCCAGTTCCTAAGAGAAAGAAGAGATCATTTTTTTAAAAAAAGCTTAGTCACAACTTAAGGTTGTCCATCATGCTTTTTCTTTTCCCCCAAAAAACAGTTTTTTTCTAACATAGTAATGATTAGATCATGGCATGAGAAATAATACTGTGGGACAGGATAGTGTTCTTTCAACATTGGGACTTGATTTCCATACATACACACACACATATTACATACATACATATACATATTACATACATACACACATACATACATGGAGACAATTCACAAGAAATGACTAAGACTGGCAGTCCTGATTAGTGCTCACTGCTAAGTAATATAATTTTATCCTTTTTTCCTTCCTCTCCTTCCCTGAAGATGTTGAATCTTTACTTAAGAGGATGACATTCAGCAGCATCTGATGACACTGATGCATCAAGTGTTGTATGTCAAATGTAAACTGAAGTTTGGAGTCCAATGTGATGCCATCCATCCGTAATTTAATAATAATCGACAATAGGCTATGAAAAAAGATCAATGGTTGCTGTATAATGTTTAATCTAGCGAGGCTGATTGCAATATTCCTGTCAATGCTTGGCTAAAATCAGCCAGCTCAACAGAGACTGGAAACCAAACCTGGGCAGGTAATATTCTCAGGTGGTTGGAGTGGCCAAATAACCTCCAATTTCTTATATTCTTACATGGCATTCAGAGATGTTCTTAGCAATTTAATTTCCTGATCATCTTATGAACTTTGTGAAGAGTCGAAGGTGACTGGAATAGGCAATGAAGTTCCTTCAATAGCAGGACTAAACATGCAAATAAAACAAAGAAAGTGCATAGGGCCAGAATATATTCCCATCTGAAAGAAGATGTGGAAGTTGAAGCCCAGAGAATGAAAGGAGAATTATTGGCTAAGTTGGGAGATTGGTTGAGTAACATAAGATAAAGAATATGGATATTGGCAAGCGGTCAGTGTCATTGGCAGCATGCGACTTGTAATGTCCCAGAACGTTCTCAGCTAGTACCTTATTTATCAATGACTGAGATTAATATGGTAAAGTTCTTGTTTATCTATTCCTTAAAATCAAACAGGAATACAACATTCCATGGTATGAATGGAAAGAGGCCTTGTTGCTACCACAAATAGATCAAATGATCATCTTGTTTGCAGCACATAGGACTTTGCCGTATAAAATTGGATGTTGCACTCAGTAATAGAACAACAGTGGACTGAACTTTGAAAGAAAACAATTGCTTGGAAGCACTTGGAACATTCCTGAAAGATGAGGTACTATAAAAGTGTATTTTATTCCTACCTCCTCCTAAATTTGCTGAAACAAATATCATCAGGAATGGACATGCCAAAAAAAAAAAGTGTGAATAAACTCTGCTCCTCAGTCACTACCTTTCACCAGATTTAATGCTTATAATATTTATTCCTATTTAAGTAAAACCTTCTCAGTGTCTATTTTCCAAAGGAAGCATCTCGGATAATCTCAGATTTCAAACTGAACAATTTAACCACGTACATAATCCAGGATTTATTTTTAATTCACAAACACAATCGGAATTAATCAACAATCCGTCAGTTACATATCTCCCTGAATGAAGGCAATTGAGATGCAACTTTTGCTGCAATACAGGTTAATTGGAT